AAGCTCTCAATGGTCACAATGGTAAATGGAAAGTCCTGCTTAATCAGATCCTCAGCTTCATAGAATGTTACCAATATAGCATCACTGGGTTATCAATAACCAGTATTCCAGAGCATGGCAAAGGGGACTCATTGGCAAAGATACGTCAAACACTGATCTTTTTTGATTACTGAGAAGCCTTTAGCGACATCTTAACTCCTCACAGTTACTCCCAATGTAGTCTGGTGTTTCATTTTAGTGCCTTTTCCCAGAATTTTTTCCTCTGCTCAGAACATTCTCTTCTGCTCTCTTTTTCTCCACCCATCTCTATTCCTCATGTATGTCAAATGCTTACCAATATTTCCCATATTAATACTGAGCTAAATATCACATTTAGCTCAAACACCATTGTCTCCATCAGTCTTACCTGGCTTTACACATGCAGTTATCCCAGGTAAAATGGGTCATCTTTGGGTCCCAAACAATCTTTTTTTACAGGACGTACAAATACTGCATTTCTTCGCTTATGTGTCTGGTTTCTTAACTAGGTGATGAAAATTTTGGAGGCAGAAGACTATGCCTAGCAGGCTCCTAGAAACTGCCCATTAAATGTTTATTGAATGCATTATGTAAATAAGTCTAGCAATAAGTCCTAGGGGCCAATTAAAAAATTTGCTTCTCTGATAAGATATAAGAAAAGACTTCTGGAGACATAAGATGGCTAGAAAGAGGATGCGATTGCTTTATTAAATTGAAAGTAAAAATATAGGTTAAACTTTTATGTTTAAATTATTTGTTTGCTATGGATTTCAAAGGTAAACTACTTTCCAGTTTAGAGACTTGATATCTTATACATATTTTACCTATATTTAATCTTGATGTTAATTTCTTATTATAATATTAATTTTCTTATTAAAATATCTTTTATTAATATAAAGAGTTGTGTGGCCTCCAGTAAAATCATTTAAATTCTCTGGGTCTTAGTTGGACTAGATAAATTCTGAAGTTATTTCTTGTCCTAATGTTAGAAATAGAAATAGAATTAGAAAAAGGGAGAAAGAGATAAAATTATAGATTAAGGCAGAACAATGAAAAAAATAAGTAAATGGATATTAAGCTATGACAATAGACTGTCAGCATTAGATATGTGTGTAGAAAAGAAGATATATTTGTACAATAAGATTACATAGACTTTTTCATAAAAATATGGATGAAATTAAGATGAAAATATATGATTCTTCACACATAAAAATTAATTCAAAATAGATCAAGACATAAATGTAAGAGCTAAAACTATAAAATTCTTAGGAGAAAACATAGAAGTAAATCTTTATGGTGTTGGGTTTGGCAATGGCTTCTCAGATAGAACACCAAAAGCACAAGCAAAAAAAGAAAGAAATAGATAAATTAGGCTTCAGAAAAATTAAAAACTTTTGTGCTACAAATAAAATCATTAAGAAAGTGAAAAGATGACCTACAGAATTGGAGAAAGTATTTGCAAATTGTGTGTGTATGTGTGTGTGTGTGTGTATGACTTGTACCTATAATATATCAAGAACATTTATTACTCAATAGTAAAAAAGACATTACAATTTAAAAATAGACCATGGATCCGAGTAGACATTTTTCCAAAGAAGATACATAAATGGCCAATAAGCACATGAAAAAATGATCAATATCATTAGTCATTAAGAAAAGGCAAGTCAAAACCACAATGACATGTCACTTCATGCCCACTAGCATGCCTATAATAAAGAAAGGTAGGCAGTAACAAGTATTGGGGAGAATGTGGAGAAATTTGAACACCTAATACATTGCTGGTGGAAATGTACACTGTACAGCCACTATGGAAAATAGTATGGCAGTTCTTCAAACGTTAAACCACACGACCCACCAATTCTTCTCTTAGCAAAATGAAAATATCCACTCAAAAATGTGTACATGAATATTTTATTGCAGCACATAAAAACATGAATATTTTACTGCAGCATTATTTACAATAGCCATAAAGCAAAAACAACCCAAGTGTCCATCAGCTGATGAGTACATAAACATATGTGGTATAAGGATACAATGGAATATTAGTTGGCTATATAAGGGAATGGCATTCTGACACATGCTACAACATGGATTAACTTTGAAAAGACTGTGCTAAGTGAAAGAAGCCAGGCACAAAAGACCACATACTTTATGATTCCATTTATAGGAAATATCCGGAATAAGCAAATCTGTACAGACAGAAACTAGGACTCAGGGGAATGAGATGTGACTGCTAATGGCCACAGGATTTTGTTCTGGGGTGATGAAAATATTCTAAAATTAGATTATTCTCAGCTCTGTGAATATACTAAACACATTGAATTGTAGACTTTAAATGGATGAAGTGTATGATATGTGAAATATATCTCAGTGAAAAAGACATATGAATTTGCATATGTGCATATATACATACACATATTGTGATATTGACATACATGTACCTAGGGATCAGCCTCTGCTTCAGCCTCAGTAAGGCATCTTTGCCCAAATAACTCAGAATAACATGTTCACTGAAAGCCAATCTGTACTCCAGGGAAATAGTGTATTCTTCTAGGTGATAATTACTTCTTTTATATTTTCCCTATTAATAGTCATCATCTCAAACACTCTATGCTAAATGGATAAGACTTAGTTCCTGAAGTGGAGCTTATTAAATCCAGCTCACTCAACAAGTATTTAAAGTATTTACAGATTACCTATCATTCCTAGAGTTGGATTAAGAACCATCATCATCCATTTACTCAACAAACACTCTCTGAGCACCTACTCACATCCTCCACCCTCAAGGAGCTTACAGTCTAATTAGAAAACACATAAACAGACATATGTAATGCAGGGTGATAAGGGCTCTGATAGATGTACTCACAGAGTAGGAGCATATTGGAAGAAGCAATTGGAGGAAGAATCAGGCCTTCCAAAGATTTACCTTCTTACTTAGGAGAAAAAGCCACACACATAAACCAGTGGAAGTTGGGACTGTGGGCCTCCACACATGAAATCAGGGGACCCACAGATGTCTGGGGAAGTGTCGCCAGATTTGGCAAGTAAAAATACAAGATTCCCAGTTGAATTTCAGTTTCAGGTGGACTATAAATATATTTTAGTATATGTATGTCCCAAGGGGATGAAGCAATTGAGAAAGGTATTTCAATACTAATACACTTTGAAGAAATGGCGGTGATGATGTCGATGCTGATTCATTCATTCTCTGATGCTTGCATTTATTCATTTAGCTGCTGGGTATTTACTGTGTATGAAGCATTATGCTATATCCTAGGGACAGAGTGGTAAGATAAACAAATAAACAAATGTAAATGTAGCCTCTATTCTTAGGGAGCTTTTTCTCAAGTGAAGATGACAAACAATCCAAAGGCCTCACAGATAAATAGCCAATGATACCCCTGATTACCATGGGCAGCAGAGGTCCAGGGAATAATGAGAGCTACCTAGGGCTGGGGATGCTCTGATGGGGGAGCTGGCCTGGCCAGGGAGAGCAGAAAAGGCTTTTCCAAATCAGTAAACATGGGGCTGAGATCTAACAGATAAGTAGGAGCAAAGGAGTGAGAAGAGCATGCTAGAATGAGAGAACCGCACGTGTGAAGGGATAACATGGGAACCAGGGGACTTTGTGATGCATTCATAGAACTGAAAGCAGCTCATGAAGCAGCAGGAAAGGTCAGACCTGCTACATCCTCAGGTAATTGACTATTTTAAGTGGAGGTGTGACAGAATCAGACTCTGTGTGCCCTGTGAAGGATGGTGTGTGTGGAACTGGAGCAGAAGCAGGGACACAGGTGTGGAGGCTATTTGTCTTACTCACCAAGCAGATTGTTGACCTTATACTAGTTTTAGGTACTGTAAGACACTTTATTTTATTTGATCTCAAGAAATAAGACCCACAGTTAGGAGGCTGAGTGACCAGGGGAATAGCAGGGTCTTTGGAGACACGTAGGATTTGGCTTATCCCATGGCACCCCCTCTAGCCAGTTGCATGGTCCAGCAAGTCTCTCTGAGCCTTGGTTAGTTTCATCACATATAAAATGTAAACAATCAACCTGATATGTTGTTATAAAGGTTAAATAAGGTATGTGAAGAGTCAAACCATGAACAGGACTTCAATAAAGGCAATTATCATTATTGTCATTATATTATTATTTAACATTACAGCTGTTTTTATTACATTATGATGTTCACCTAATGGTAAAATAATAACTTCTGAAGCAGTTTATAATGAGCCAAATAATTTGGAATATATAGGCTTGATCATGTGACTTTAGAAATAATTAAAAGAGTAAGAGACTGGGACTTCATACTCCTGTATGGACTCTCCATGAGGCCTCTTTGAATCTCTATATCTTCATGTCTCAATGCTATTGGTTGTATCTTTCCTGCTTACCCATTAAAGAATGTTACAAAAATAAAACATGATCTATATTAGGAGCATTTTAAAATATATATTACAATAAGCATAATAGCCAATACCCCAGAACATGTGTGGAATTTCTAGTCCCCAACCCTGGGACTGACAGGAGGGTAAGAAGCTCCTTTTCCAGATTAAAGAATGAGATCACTGAACTTTCTCTGAGTGTCAGTCCTGGGGGTTTTCTGAACAAAGCAGTGTGCTCCCTTGGATGTTCAGAACCAGAATTGGGCAATACCACCCAGAGAAACATTGATCCACGGGGAAGGGAAGGGATACAGGGATGTGGTGTTGTGGGTTAGAGATCAAGAACAAGGAACAGGGCTGCTGGAAGAAGAAACTTTATTTTTCCCATGGTAGAATTTAGGGGCCGATGATTCACAGAAGGGCGTGTGGGGTTAGGAACCAGGGAGTTGTGAGGAGCTCTGTGAGAAGACTTCATTGTTCTGGCATCTCAAACTCCAGAACAGAAGAAAGGGTGTAAAGTGAGGGGAAGTTCAGAGAAGTGGGTCCATATTCCTTGCATCTTCCCATTGCTGCTCTTCTATGGGCAAGACCCAGCTCAGCAGCACCCTCCGGAGCCATGGCAGCAGCCAGAGCCCCCAGAGGGCTCACACTCACTGCAGTCAGGGCTCTGGTGTCGGCGCCGGTGGAAGAGACGGGGTCTGTGGTGGCTCAGACAGCAGCCGCCACCCCCAGAGCTGGGGCCACAGCAACCCCCAGAGCTGGGGCCACAGCAGGAAGACACTGGAGGGGGACATGGAGCTGGGCACTGGGGTGGGCACTTGGGGGTGCATTTGGGGGTGCACTTGGGAGGGGGCTGGCACTGCTGCTGGTTCTGTTGGCAGGACATCTCAGAAAAAGCTCAGTTAACCTGAGAGAAACAAAAAAGGAATCAGTGCACAATCTCAAGGATTCATTCTCATTTGTCTTCCCTCTGGCTTTTATAGAAACCTACTCTCTACTACCAGCTGGTTCATGAACCAAGTTATGGACGAAAGCAAGATTTAATAAATATTTTCTCTCCTAGTCTACTTTGCTTCCATATGTCTGTTGACCATCTATCTACATGGGCTCAAAAGTCACTGTGACATAAATATTCCTGTCCCCAAAAGACACAAGATAATGTAATCAATTTCTAACCCTAATCTCAAAGATGTCAGATGGATAGGACATATCCAAGAGCATTTGTTTTCCAAAAAATAAATAAGAAGATGATGATACTTATAACCAAGACCTGTGGAGGTTGCAGGATACTTCACATCTCTCACCCCAAGTGACTTCTTCCTTCTCCCTGCCTTCATCTCTTGTGCATCCCCTGGAGACTCCTTTGCAAGCACTCACCTGGTCTGTGGAGGAGGCAGGAGCTGTCGCTGTCAGAGCAGGTGGCTGAGGAGCTCAGCACTGGAGCCCTTTTATCCCAGGCCCAGTGTCTTCCCAAGAGTGAAGCATAGCCCATGTATGCAGAGCAGTCACTTTCACAACCTGGGATGAGGTGACTCTTCTCACACTCACTGCCCTGGGGCTCTGGGATCTCCCTGCACAGGGCCACGAGGGACCCTGGAAGGGAGAGACTGCCCAGATGTCTGCTCCCCAGGCCTGCTGCAGGCCAGCCATTCCATCTGCATGCATCCACTCATTTAGTAAGTTAGGAAATATGTATTATCTATTTTGGGCCCAGAATTTTGCAAGAAGTAATTATCATAAAGACAAGCCAGGTTTCCTGGAGGATGTACATGTACACGATGCATTATAAATCAGTTTACAATGAGCTATATGAGGCTCCCATGACCCATGTGTGGTCCCTAACAAGTCTTAGCTTACAACAGTGTCATGGCCATTTCCATGCCTGTCTGCTTTTCTAAATGAGGAACCTGTTGAGAACAGAATTTGTTCTGGACTTTATTCATCTCTATTTCTCCTGTAATTCCATAAACAGAATGGGCAAGTAAGAAGAAGAAATGAGTTCCTGATTCTGACTGACTAAAGAATGACTAAGAGGCTGCATTTCAGTACCCAGGGCAGAAGCTTGTGACTCAGTCTCAGTCCATTTGGGGGACTCTAGAAGTACCTGGATGAGGACAAGCACTGGGTCAAATGTGACATGACCTTGGATGTCATCATCTATCAATGGCTCAGAATATCACATAATGAGAGCACAGGCCAAAAGAATAAAATTCAGATGGAGAGTGTTTGTTTGTGTGGGGAGGGGTTAAGCAGCCCAGGAAAAGGGGTATAACTCAGGTCACTGACTAGGGGAGAAGAACCAAGAGACAACAAAGCAAAGACCATGGGACAGCCTAGGGGACTGCAGACCATGGCAGAGTCAGTGCAGTGAGACACTATGGGAGCTTGGACTGTGAGAGCAATAAAAAAGTAACAAGTACTGCCATTTAGCTATGCGAGATTCCACTGAACTTTGCTTTTAAGAAAAGTATGAGGGTAGAAAATATTCAGATATGTGAAATACATATTCTTACCACATCTGAAATTAGAGGCAAGTAGACCTAATTAGGCAGATATGTGCTGTTTTCTACACTGGAATGGACACTCTACTAAATACTTGAAATACTCATCCCTGCCTTGAAGGCTGTCACAGTCAGTGTGGAAGACAGACAAGGAAATGTGTGACTTTGTTGTTAGACATAAGCTCTGGGTGCTGTTGGAGCTCAGGAGAGGACAGGTAGCTCCGACCAGAGAGAAACATGGTACCTAGTGATGCTATGGTAAGGACAAGTTCATCATGGCCATCAAGAGTTGGGAACTATCCCACCTGGTTTCAGGGACTGTAACCTCACCGACAGACGAGAGAGCCCCAATGCTGGAGCTGAGCAAGGAGGCCTTGGGAAAATAGGCCACTGAGGAGACAAAACCTGTCCCCCTCGCAGGGGCTGTCCCTCACATCACCCTGCTTGGTCACAGAGGATGACTGGTTAGTCAATGACAGGTAAGACCCCTTGATGGCAAAGGCAACCTAAGACAGGCACAGCCGCATGGGGGCCATCAGGGAAGGACTTGGGGGACATGGAAAAGGGGCAAAAGACCCCCACCCCTCGGCTTTGTCATGGCCAAGGTCCTCATTCTATCTGAAAGAAGTCTCCTTATCTCTTGGCAGCTCTGCCCGCCACCTGACCAGGTCAGTAAAATAATACTAAAGGCAAGTACAGTCCTAAACTGGATCAGGCAGTTCCTGGGGACAATTAGGCCTAGAAAGGGAATGCATTAAATCCTATGAAACTTACTTTGCTAAGAATACCCTTGAGTTAATGAGTACTGATGTTTGGGGTCTGAGCATAGAATGTGATCAGTTTCCCAGGTTTCAGGGCCCAGTGGGTGCCACACTGTCTACCAGGCCATGACCTGAGGCAAATCTCTGTGTTCCTTCAATCATAGCCTTTTGACATTGGTTGATGAGTTTTGCATGCATGCTGTATACCCCTGCACATATCATTCTCAATAAAAGCCACTTCAAGAGAAGGGTTTGGGGCATTCTCCACTAGAGGGAATCACCACCCCCTTTTCCTGGCATATTGAGAAGTGTCTGGAATGACTTATTTCTTCATCTGTGGCAACCAGGGGGACTCTGTGGGGAATGGAGTACCACCCATCAATCAGAACCAAAGAGAACTGGGGAACCAAGATGCCAGTGATGCATAGCAGAGGAGAAATAGAATGGACACTGTAGGAGTAGACAGTATTACCCTAAGAAAGAAAAAATACTTTTCAAAAGACATTATTATTCAAACAAAGGGAGTTCTAAGAAAAAGATGATCATCACTGTCAAATGCTCCAGTGAGTCCATTCCATTCATCTGCTTGGAAATCATTTATGACCTCCGAGAGACTGATTTCTGAGGAGATCAGAAATTTATTTAATTCTTCTATTATTGAATGAGCTTAATAAAATTATAAATAATTAAGAAGTGAAAGACAACTTTATAAGGAGTAAAAAACCACAGTTAAGAAAATCACCATTTTTTTTGAGATTTACCAAAACAAAAACTTGATGTTTGTTAAGACAGTATTCAATTGAGTGTGAAATGTGTGGAACTAATTATCTTTACATGTTCAGCAAAGAAGCAGATGATGTGGGCTGGGTTAGATATGGAGGTTAGTTACAGAGGTTTGTTCAAAGGACTGACATCATTGATGGAAGTGGCTATTTCATGATGATGATGCTGATGTTAATAGGAAGATAAGTTTGATCATGATGGTAAGGCAAAAGAACTACACTCTGCAAAATGTGTTTCTGAGGGTTTTATGTCACATGGGAGCAAGAAGTTATTGCCCTGTCCTAAGCCATTTATTTACACATAGTAACTTGTCTAATCCTCACAACAACCCTATGATATGTGACTATGTTAGCTTTTTTGACAGAAGAGAACACTAAGAGCAGAAAAGTTAAAAACTCAAAGACACAAACTAGAACTTCATTGAGATGATACTTGTCTCTAATGCATATACCTCAACAATGAGAGATTATTCTCAATAATGTAACAAAACAAATGATCTATTTAAAAAGAAATTATCAGTATTTCATAAAAAATATTCTTAAAAATTTGTCCAAGTATCATTTATCTTAATGACATTTTTGCTTTCATTAGCCAGTGAACACACAAGAGATGGGGGGATGGGATTACAAGAGACAGGATAAAGTAAAATGCCTTCAATTTCTGAACTGGACAGAGAAAGAAGCTATTCACCAAGTTGAAAATCAATAGTAAGGTGGTTTAATGAATGAAAGGCTAAGGAATTTTTTTTCTCTTACAATCCTTTCTATTTCTGTGTTGTCAGTTGTAATCTCTCCTCTTTCACTTCTTATTTCATTTATTTGGGTTCTCTCTCCTTTTCAAAATTTTTTTATTTTAAAATCATGTTTAGTCTATTACAGTTGTCTCATTTTTCCCCCCGATGCCCTCCTCCAGCCATCCCACCTACCCCCTCTCTCACAGTCAATTCCTACTCTTTTGTCCATGTACATGTTCTTTGTACATTTGTACATTCATACATGTTCTTTGTTTAGTCCCTTCTCCTTCTTTCCTCCTTCCCCATCTCCTCTGGTCACTTTCAGTCTGTTCCACGTTTCCATGCCTGTGGTTTATTTTGTTCGTTAGTTTATTTTGTTGAATACATTCTACTATAGGTGAGATCACATGGTATTTGTCTTTCACCAACTGGATTATTTCACTTAGCATAATATTTTCCAGTTCCACCCATGTTGTTGCAAAACAGCAGTTCCTTCTTTCACCTTTTTTTAAAAATACAGATTGATTTTATTTATTTATTTTTTAAATGTAAAAATCATTATAAAATATTTAAAAATGTAAATCCATTATAAAGTCTCAGCAATTAAAACAACATGACAGCAGCACAGAAATAATCAAGTAGATCAATGAAATAAAATGAGCATTCTGGAAACAAATGTATATATCTTTCCAACAGCGTAATATATATTTAAATCGATATTTCATATCAAAGAGGAAAATAAGGCTTATTCAACAAATAAGGTGTATGGACCACTATTACTTGAAATAAAACAAATATAGAGCCTTATCTCACACACTATTCAAAAAATATTCAGGTGAATTAAAAATCAATATGTAAAATCTAAGGAGTTTTAGAAGAAAATACAAAATGATATTTTTCTAAACCTGAAGTAAAATATTCAAACCCAGAAGCTATAAATTCAAATATTGACAATATGAATATATTAAAAATTTAAGACTAAACAGCAATATACATTTAAAAAAGTTAAAGGATGTGTAATAGAATAGGAAACTATTTGCAATACATCTAAAACAGGATTAATAGTCTTTTGGTTTCTTTTTAGGGAAAGAATTCTACAAACATTTAATCAAAAAATGGGTAAAGAATACCAAAAAGTCATTTAAAGCTTTTTAAAAATAATAGAAATAGGTAAGAAATATACACAAACAGGTTTAGTTTCGACAAATAGTAAAGTAACAAAATAGCACACCACCGTCACAATCAGATTAATAAATATTAAAAATATTTGTAATATCAAGTATTGGTGACTGCAAAAGGTACTGGGTATTCATAGACTTTTTCTTCATCTTCTTAAAGCAGCCCCTTTAGCATATTTTGCAATGCTGGTTTGGTGGAGATGTATTCTTTTAGCCTTCTTTTGTGAGGGAAACCCCTTATTATGCATTCCACTTTAACTGAGAGCCTTGTTGGGCAAAGCAGTCTTGGTTGTAGGCCTTTGCTTTTCAATACTTGGAATATTTCTTGTTATTCCCTTCTGGCTTGTAAGTGTTTCTGTTGAGAAGTCAGCTGCTAGCATACTGGGGCTCCCTTGTATGTTACTACCTGTTTCTCCCTTGCTGCCTTTAGGATTCTCTGTTTGTCTTTGATATTTGCCATTTTAATAATGATGTGTCTTGGAGTGGACTTCATTGAGTTCCTCTTGAATGGGACCCTCTGTGCTTCCTGGACTTGTGTGATTTTTTCTCTCCTCCAATTAGGGAAGTTTTCTATCATTACTTTTTCAAACAGGCTCTCTATCCCTTGTTCCTCTTCTTCTCCTTCTGGTATCCCTATTATATGGATATTATTAAGTTTCAGTTGCCCTGCATTTCCCTCAATGCCTCTTCATTCTTTTTGAGTCTTTTTTCATTTTCTTGCTCCTTCTGGGAACATTTTTCTACCTTGTCATCCAGCTCACTGATTCAATCCTTGGCTTCATCTAGCCTGTTTTTGATTCCTTCTACTGTGTTCTTCAATTCAGAAATTGTATTCTTCATTTTCTCTTGTCTCTTGTTGATAGTTTTTATGCCCCTTTTCATGCTGACACAGTTTGCAGTAAGTTCCTCATAGTTTCCCTGTAGTTCTTGGTAATTCTCTCTGAGCTCACTGAGCTCATTGAGCTTTCTTAGAATCCTTGTTTAGAACTCTGTATCTGATCATTTACTTGCCTCTATTTCATTTAGTTCTCTTTGTGGGATCCCTCCTTTCCCTCGAGTTGGGGGTATTTCTTTGCCTTCCCATTATTTGTGAGACTCGTCTTTTTCACTTCTGCTTGTTAAATTGATCTTTCTTAATTTCCTGACTTTGTGGTGTAAACTCTATGGAAGGAACCTGCTGTTTTTTTTCTTTCTGGTTGTGCCTCCAGTGATGTCAGATGTTGACCCTGTCTGACCTTAGGCAGTCTGTTCAAGACTTCTGGGAATCTTCTGTCTGTGGCTGTCTCCTTCAGCTGTTAATCTAGTCACTTTGCATTCAGCAGACCAGCCTAGACACCACAGGGTGGGGCAGAGTCCCACCTGAGGGCGGGGTTATTGGGTCCTCTTAGGCTGCTGCCACTCCGGGGAGTGGTTGCCTAACCCAGATGGCTGTGCTGAATGGGGGAGGAGTCAGTACCAGGATCCTGCCAGCTACTCTCTCAGTTCTCTCCCCAAAGCCTCTGACTCTAGTCTCTCCTCAAGTGTCTCTAGACCACTATGCACCCTCCTTAGCCAGGGATCTACTATCTGTGGCTGCCACTCTGTACACAGTAGTCAGGATTTAGCACTACTGGGCCAGGGCAGAGTCCCTCCTGGGGTTGGGCTGTTGTGTCCTCTCACACTGCTGCCACTCAGGGGAGTGGTCCGCCTGAGCAAGATGGCTGCTGTGGTATGGGGGATGAGTTAGCACCAGTATCCCGCTGGCTATTCTCTCAGGTCTCTCCCCAAAGCCTCCTTCCCCAGTCTCTCCTCAGGTGTCTCTAGCCCACTCGGCCCCTGCCTTTGCTGGAGACCAAGGTAAGTGGCTGCAAATAAAAATTTATGTGTTGGCTCTTTAAATGGCTCTTTGCATCTCTAGCTTCCTGTCTCTGGTAGAGAGCAACCCTGCCACTTTTTGCAGCTGGCTGCTATCTGTGCAATTTTTGGGTTCTGGTGCTGTAGGCTGTAGATCCCTGTGTATGGCTTAGACCCCGCTCTTCTCAGGGGTATCCAACTGGCTGTTTCAATATCCTTCTGGTGCTGCCACCTGTGGGCGCACTGCCCACCTTCTCAAGTCTCCACCATACTCCTTACCAGTCAGGTTGTGCTACTGCTGATTCTTCTGTCTGTCCAAGGTTATAGGGCTCCTCTCTCGCTTTTGTTCAGTTGTTTGTTCCAGGTGATTTCTCCATAGTTTAGTTGTAATTCCAGATTGGTCCTGGGAGGAGGTCAGTGTGACTTCCACTCACTCCTCTGCCATCCTGAGTCTCCCTCCAGGAATTTTATTTTAATTTTTGAATTTAAAATGAGAATGGAGTCCTTGATTGGTGATATCTGAAAGGCAGCTAAATGAATCAATCTGATGCCCAGAAAATGCAAATGCACTTTAAATATTGACCTGCGAGCTATGTAGCCAGAAAATGTTTTCCATACAACCACAATATTCCATTCTAGATAGTAAAGAGATGACATTGGGCAAGATAACAAGGTTTGTAATCTCATGGAGTTTATATGAAAGTGGGAAGAGAAAGACACAAAAAAATGTAAATAAATAAGAAATCATTTGTTGGTGATTAGGAAAATGAAAATAAAGCAGAGTGATGTGTTTGAGTGATTGTATAAATGACAAGGAGGCTATTTTACATTTAGGGGTCAATGAAGGGCATTCTAGAAAAAACTTCTTAAATATCAGCATGACAATGATAACTGATATCACGAGAGTAGATAAGATTTCCCAGGAGGGATGAGACGAAAGGGAGAAGTGGAGACCAGGCCAGTAAAAGGCTCAGATACTAACAGGGGTCTGGCTTTGTTCTTACTGTGTAAACTTCTGCAAATTAGTTCACTTAACCAAACCTCAATCTTCTTATTTATAAAATTAATGGGAATTAAAATCATATATTTTAAAGGGTTGTGAGAATCAAATGAGAACATTATATAAGTTATGAAAATGACAGTTTTTGGAAAAACAGAAAAATGGGAGAAGTCAGAATTTTTGGACCATGACATAATGTCATCATTGTTCCATGTATGACCTGCTTAATTATTTATTTTGTTCTTCTGTCTATCTATCTGTTCAATAATTAATTAACTTATACATTTTACTAATATAAACAGAACCAAGAACCCACTGAAATGAGAGCTAAAATGCTGATAATATCCATCCTACCTCTAAACATGTGTTCCTACCCCACGCAATGCACTTTGCTCCTTCCTACCCAAACTACTTACTATTCGAAAAAAAGTTTTTTATCCATATCTCATTTTTCAATTTCATGTACTTTACTTCCAACCATATGTACAACAGACACAAGTATATATATTACTGTTTTTAAACTTATAAAAGAGTATCTTGTTGCATGTAATATTCTGGGAGTTGCTGTTTTCAATTATTTGTGCATGGTGTGAGGCTTCAGTCCATTGTTTGGAGTGCTGAATCACAGTCCATGTCTGAGTGTCTAAGAGTGTCTCACCCACCTTCCAGTAAAAGAGCATTTGGCTTGCTTCCAGGTTTTTGTTATCGGGTACAGTACTAATGATTTTTAATTCATCACTTAATATTAGCAGTTAGAAACATTATTATTGTAATTATTAATAAAAAACAGAGTGGAGTAAACTTGGAGAAAACTCAAGTGTACCCGCAGAGATGAACATCCTCAACCAGCAACTGGAAACCTAGAGTGGTCCTGTCTGCATGCAGGATAGGTCACCCGAGGTCTTTCTAGGAGCAGCCTGTGAGTGCACACCGGCCAGCTGACCCACACTCCTGAGCATGCTTCTGTCCCCCAGCAGGGCAGGGCTCCCCTGCTGACATGACCTGTGGGGCTGCTGCTGACAAAATAAGCTACAGGCAGGTAGGCTCCATGAAAGACTTTATTATTTTGTCACTATAAGAAGAAGGGGCCAGAATATTTAGGAAAAAGCAGAAGGTTCCATTGGAAGACCTCTGCAACTCCAACTGCAGGACACAGAGGACAGGCAATGAGGGAGGAGGAGCAGCAGGCTGCAGGGTGGGTGTCTTCTGCATTTTGGTTCTTCACATTCTGCTTATTGTAAGTCCTCAAGGCTAAGGTCAGCAGCCCCCGGAGCAGCAGCCGGAGCCCCCAGACTCCTGGCAACTGCCACTGCCACAGCAGTCAGAGGTGTGATGTCGGTGGCAGTGGGACCTGTGGCGCCTGTGGTGACTCAGGCAGCAGCCGCCACCCCCAGAACTAGAGCCACAGCAGGAAGAGACTGGAGGGGGACATGGGGCTGGGCATGGGGGCAGGCAATTAGGTGGGCACTTGGGGGGACATTTAGGGACAGGACACTTGGAAGGGGGCTGGCACTGCTGCTGGCTTTGCTGGTAGGACATTTTAGACAGAGAGTCAGTAAACCTAGGGAGAAAATAAAAAGCCATTGTCACACAAGTCACAAGTAGATGTGTCGTTTTCCTGGGATTTCATTGACCCCTCCTCACCCAAGACAAGCTGCTTTGTGAACAAGATCTACAAATGAAATCTGGAAGCTGATAGAAGTGCAACTGACTGCAATAAAGCTCTCTGTCTTGGCTTTTGTTGTTTCCCAGTCAAAGATACTATCTTCCTCATGGGCCCTAAAGTCAGCCCCTGTCTAAGGCCTCCCCGCCACTGGGAAACATCGCAGGCCTTAATTCAAAATCCTTACTGTGATGGATCTGTTATTCTCAAGCATTTCTGGTGGATACTCATCATCTCTGAGCACACTTATTAGAGGAGGATGAGAGGGAAAGACCCTTATAGCCCAAACCTGTGCAGTTCAACCCCGAGCCTACTTCTCGCTCTTCCTCTTGTCTTCTACCCCATGGGCCACAGTGCAGGTCTTCTTATTGCCCTCTTCTCCTGAACCTACAACATTCCCAGCCCTCTGGCCTCCTTTTTGCCAGGAACTTACTTGACCAAGAGAAGTCAAGAAAGGATAAACTGATAGAGTTTACAGATAGAAGCTAGGCACATCTGCAGGTTAGAGAATCCCTCACACTGCTCCTGGTTCTAGACTCAGTGACTCCCTCCTCTTGCCCTATTTTCTTCTGCCCCTCCCTCCTCACACTCCTGTGCCCTGAAGACTCCTTTGCAAGCACTCACCTGGTCTGTGGAGGAGGCAGGAGCTGTCGCTGTCAGAGCAGGTGGCTGAGGAGCTCAGCACTGGAGCCCTTTTATCCCAGGCCCAGTGTCTTCCCAAGAGTGAAGCATAGCCCATGTATGCAGAGCAGTCACTTTCACAACCTGGGACGAGGTGACTCTTCTCACACTCACTGCCCTGGGGCTCTGGGGTCTCCCTGCACAGGGCCACGAGGGGCCCCAGAAGGGAGACACTGACCAGATGTCTGCTCCCCAGGCCTGCTGCAGGCCAGCCATTCCATCTGGATCCATTCACTCATTCAGTATTAGGAACTAAGGAAATATGTATTGTCTACTTTGGGCCCAGAATTTTGCAAGATATCAGTGACACAAAGATGATGCAGATCGCTTTTAGGAGCAGATAGTCTTGGAGGATGACTTTGTAAGCAGTCAACTGTGTGCTATGTGCCATGTGATTTGACCTTTTGTTCACGTTCCTCGTAGCTCAGACCTTAGTGCCGTCTCAGACGTTCTACTTGTCTCTCTAAACTGGGAACCCCTTGGAAGCTGTGCTTGTTTTATACATCCTCCTACTATTGAGTGGTAGAGTCTCTGGCACAATAAACTTAGGATGAAGATTAAATATCAGGAAGAGGAAAGCAGATATTTATGAGACACTTAGCTAAACTCAGGCAGGTGCATGGCAGCCTGCTGGCTTCCAGAACCCCTTGTAGAAAGACAGTTTCCCAGAAAGGTCCCAGAAAATAACTGAGAAAGTTATTTTCACTAATGCTGAATATTAGTTCCTAGAAATATATGAGAGCACAGATCTGTGGAAATAAGATCTAGTGGGCAGAATGTAGACCACAAAGAATCTATAGGAGGCATGACAGTAACGGCCTTGAGAAGTGCAGTGGCTGCTGAAGGGCAGTAGACGCATAGAGGAGGCAGGTTCTCAGCGGAGGGGAGAGGGAACTTGAGATGTGGAGGTGCTTGGAAGTTCTCACAGACTTTTTGCTTCAAGCTTGAATGTGAGGGCTGAAAGTGCTTGTGAATTAGAATAACTATATTATTGGGCTATTATATTATATAGGAACAATCAATACTTACAGTGAAGAGAAATAAAATAAGACCTAAGTGGATTTCGTTAAGTTGACATTACTTAAAAATCTGCTAGTTAAGAAACACAGGGTTAAACTGCTGTGAGTAAGGGGTTACCATTAAGGTCAATGAGCAACATCATAGTTGGGGTATTCTTTTAGGTAATAGAGAAATCCTCTGATAGAGGTTTGTCAGGGTTTACCAGTATTGTAGAGAAAGGAACCACCTAACACAAACCGGATTGGTTACTTGGTAATTAAATAAGCACTTGAAGGTTGCTACAGGAGATAGCATGCTGAAAAAAGAGAGAGACACAGTGAAAGATAGAACTGGGCACAGAACACTGAGGGTATTCCAGCTTTTAATGGGTAGGCAAAGGAAATGTAAAAATATAGGAGTCTAAGAAAGAAAGTTAAAATATTTATTTTGAAAATTCAGATGAAAATCATGGCAATTTGGAAAAAAAAGAAATGAAATTTCAAAAAAGAAGAAGGTGCTCACATTGTCATAATGGCATCAATTAGGTTTGGCAAGTTTTAGGGCACTGGTTTCTTAATAGAAATAGTCATTTTAATGGTGAGGGCTGAAATTATTTATAACTTTAAAAGGAGTAGTATAGAAAAACCAGAGATTACTACTTCAGGAAGTACAAAAAATAAATGATTAATAAAGTAGAAAAATAAAATGGAGAAAATACTATTGTAATGCATGCATAGCATTGTAATGCAAAATCATGTCATGGTGCCAAATTGGCTATGAGATGTGTGGTGTTGGTTCAAAGAATCACAGCAGTTCACAGAGGGCCTTGATTTGCACTGTAGTTTTTTAAAATATTTTTTCAAAAGCTGATGCTAATTAATGAAAGTGATGATGATACTGACCCTAATCAAACCTTCAGTCAAGATAGGCTATAGCTGACATTGGAGGAACAGAAGATTGAAAGGAAAGACGGCACTGACTAAAGACAAATAGGAGATATTTCACAGTATTAGTTTTAAAGGACAGTTTTAGAGTCAGCAAGATGTAAATTGGCATTTCTACTACCCTGTGGGCAAGCTGTGCCATCTTAAGCAAGTTATACTATCTAAGCTACAGTTTCATTGTCCATAAAATAGTGATCATAGTTCTGCTCATCTGTAAGCAAAAAATGAGATATTACCTCTAAAGCACTGAGCATAGTACCACATGTGTGGCTGAAATTCAAGAAGTGGTAGCTTCTTCTACAATTACTATTGCTGCTATTCTGATTAATGCCATTATTTCACATGTTTTGGTATTTTAATAGACATTATTCTGTCTGCAATGATTTTCTTGTCATTGAAGAGAACTGATATTACAGAAGCTTTATGGCCCTATTTTCCTTGTTGGACTCAACTGAGGCCATAGGTGGAGACTCTTGAAGATAAAGATGAAAGAAAAATGAAAGTTAGGTGTGTCATATTTTATACCATTTATTGAACCCATTCTATGAACAAAGTTTGCATTAGGTGATAGGGAGGATCCAGAGAGATTTGGAAACCACCCTTATCTTCAGACATGGTCTTATGAAAATTTACCATCTAGAAATTGCAACAGGGAAGCACTTCACTAACTTTAACATGAGGCAGATAGAGACTATTTATAGGCAAAACTATGCTCTGTGAAACTAAGGTGTGACTGTCTGGAGGTAGAGTTTGAGCAATACATATGGACACAGGCGGAGAAGGGAAAGATTGATGCAGAGATCTGTATTGACATCTATAGTGTGCAAGAGTGAGATATAGAGATGTTCAGAGCAAGAGGTATAGGGGTGAAGAACTTCTATATAATTAGAGTAATAAAAATGTGAAAATAATGGGGAAGAGGTGGTAAGATGGGGTGATTATATGTAAGATACTCTGCATTTAATATGGAACTAAAAGACCACATATTATTCTCTAATTGATTTCATGATTCTGAGTGTTGTTGGTGTTCAGAGAAAACAAAATACTTATGGGATGGAAAAATTAGATTTGTTTTTAGGAGAATTATAACTAATGAAAAATATAATAGAATTGATATCAGTGGTGTTTAAATGTCCAAAGTTCAACAGATTCAACCAGGGCATCAGTTACATAAAATGAATTTATGTTATCTGAAGTAGTTTCCATTGTTTCTTATAACATTAAGGATTCATTGCCTAGTAACATATACATTTCCAAACTCAAATTAAAAGTAGAATAGTTCTTTTTAAATAGTGATTTTAAAATATAGTTTTGATGAAACTTTATTATAAATGAATTGGTTTTCCCTTATACAAGGAGGCCCAACCTACCCTTTTAAAGATATTTTAATATGTTTTACAGAAGGGTTGAGAGTTTCTCTGCTCATCCCACTCTGAACCACAAAGATACCTTTGTTTTCTTTAAAATCTTTGCAGGAATATAAGTTTGTATCAAGGTACAGACATGAAGATACAGGAGAATGAGTGAAGGGTACATTTTTACCTGCTTCCTGTTCCAGGGTTGGGTACCTGTTGTCACTGAGGATAAATGATCTGATAACTCCACCCAGAAATAAAGAATATAGTTCCTTTTCTATAGATATCTTCATTCATGGGCAGACACTCACCAGGAAAAGGAAAATGAATATAAAAACACAAACTTTCTGAAAAACAAAAAGTGTGTGCAGCAAGTCTAGGAAATGATGATTTATAATAGCCAAGGTATGGAAATTACCTAAGTGTCCATTAATGGATAAGTTGGCAAATAAAGTGTGGTTTATATTATATGTAATGTATTATCACATATCATATATGTTATTCCATTGTGTGTAGACACATGCAAAAATGAAGTACATACATGCAAAAAAAGTATACATATACACACACAATGAAATATTTCTTTAAAAAAGAAAAAAACCTCTGTGATTTACAACCACATGGATAAACCTAGAGAACATTTAGCTAAGTAAAGTAAGCCAGACACAGAAAGTCAAATACTGTATGATTGCACTTATATGTAGAATCTAAAAATGTTGAACTCATAGAAACAGAGAGTAGAATAGTTACCAGAGGCTGGTGGTGAGGAAAAGAGACGTTGGTCAAAGGTTACAAACTTTCACTTATAAGTAAATTCTAAGTAAAATTATAAATAAAAGAGAAGACATTACAACTGATACCAAAGGATCATAAGAGATGACTATAAGCAATTATATG